CATAGCTTCAGGATGGCCGAGCCTTCCCACGATGCTTCATTACTGCTGCCTCGTGATGAATGACTCCCGCGGTGGCAATAGCACGGACCAGCTCGTCGCCTTGCCGGCCTAACTTTGCCAAAATCGGGGTCATTCTTGTGCTTCTGTCGGTCAGCCGCTCTCGCCGCGCACCACTGCTACATGTCTAATCCTGGTATCGTCCACTGGCATGCACTGAAGCGTGTTCTTCACTACATCAAAGAAACCCTCGATTATGGCATTGTCTATTACAATGCTGACCATGCACACTCCACCATCGAACTGATGATTTACTCTGACTCCTCTTACTCTGATTGCGCAGACACAGGACGTTCGACTCAGGGTCATGTCATGGTGATGGCCAGTGGTCCTGTTACGTGGAGTTCACGGCACCAGGACATGGTTGCTCTATCCACTACTGAGGTGGAATACATCACAGCAGTGCATGCAGGGTAGACAGCAATGTGGATTGAGGAATTTATGGGTGATATTTATCTTCCTATTTCTCTTCCAGTCAGCCTCAGGATGGATAGTGCGGATGGTGAGAGTCTGGCAAAATGCTCCATCAACTTCACCCGGGTCCGGCACCTCAATGTTCGATACCATTGGCTTCACGAAGCTGTTCGACAGAAGCAAATTCAAATCACTCATATTCCCGGCACCGAGAATCCTGCGGACATTTTCACCAAGGCCCTTCCTCAGCCAGCTCTTCTCAAACACATTGGATTTCTTAGTCTCAAGGCTTAGATTCTTTCCTCTCCTTTCATTTTCTTATTCTTATTTTTTCTTCCCCCCCCCCCATTCTCCTCAGTGTCGCGGCCTAGGAGGAGTGTTGTAGTGCAGCCATTCTAGGAAAATGGGGAGAGTAGGAGCTTGAGTTTGACAGCACGAACATGTGATCAGCACGTAGGTACAGAGCGACGTGTCACGGTAGTAGCACCTCAGTCGAGTACGTTCATGTATGGCGCGACTGAGGTGAGGGACAGACTTTCTTTACTTTGCATAGCTAGAGACTTACAGTACTATACCAGACTACGCTCGTGTATCCAACAGTGCTGTACTGACATATGCTTGCAGTAACCTGTATCACAGAAGGTCGGCACATCCGAGAGCACAGGCCAGCTCATCTCTGGTAGTAGGTGAAGGTTGTAAAGTCTGATGTGTGCCTTACAGGCATTGGGGAATCTGGTGAGCTGTACATCTAGAGTGGGCAGGTCATCCTTGGATACAATTGCAATGAGAAAGTGTAAGTGCTTTGACAGGACCTTACTCGGGCTGAGGTGGACTCCTGGCAGTACAAGGGAGGCACTCTCTCCCGATGGATGAGGAGTCATCATTTTGCCTCACATTAACAACATTCGTTGATCCCCTCTGTGAATCAGACGTTTCTGGACTGGCGATGAGGTGATCTTTCTTAAGGAGAACAGCGATGTCTTTATCATGGATCGAATCAAGGTAAGGCTCCAACTATTTATACTATCTACACTCCTGAGGTGTAAATAAATAGTATATAGCAAATAGTTGTCTATATGTCATATAAACAGTTTATATAAAGTTTATATAGTTTTTTTGGTCTCATTTTTTGGTAGAGTTTTACTCAACTGTGAGCAGCCTCTGTGATTGTTAAGGCCTTTAAGGATCTGTGTGCATCAGCACGCATATGACAGTGAGCAGAAAACAAGCATTCAATGTCAACACTTGCACTAGGAATAACCAGGAAATTTCATGTCATACAAGAAATAACAAGAAACTCATGTTCATGAGCCTACATGATGATCAACTGTCAGTGATGGCTTCTGTCGAACACTGTAACTTTCAATTGGCTCACTGTTGTGCTGTCAAATCTAGCAATCATGCACTCAATAGCTCTATATCATCATAATATTATTTATACTATATATATACATTTATTTACTATGTACAGGCTCGACTGTAAATAAACAGATATAGTAAACAGTTAAAACTATGTAACATAGTAAATAGATAGAAATGTTAGAGCCTTAAATCAAGTGTGCCCATTCGCATTGTCCTGCTCATTACACATGATGCACGAGATTGTAGGAGTTGATCAATATGACGGAGTTTCAGGTCACGCCGGTGGAGCTGGAGGGTCACATGCTCAGGGTATGCACACATTGCAGACTAGGGTATGGCAAGAAACTCCTATGTTTTTTACATTAATGTAATTTACATGTAATTTACATAGTCCCAAAATACCCATGTCAAAAATGTCAAAATAGGGTCATCACGTGCACCTTCATATTGGCGACTCAGGCAGGCAAAGCTGGGCAAAAGCCAAGAGAAAGAACTCAGACAGGCAAAAGCTAAGAGAAAAATCACGGAAAGCCGGCCAGGTATCAAAAATAAAGGAAGAAGCCGGCCACCTGCTTGAAACTTTGCTTCGATGGTTACATCTAATACTCTCATTTTTCATGGCAAGCAAGCAAATTGGCTCGGGGAATCCTATGACAGCACATCTGCCTACTTCCATTGAGCATTTGCATCATGTGTGTGAACTTTCGTGTTTTTTTTACATTTTTGACAGAGTTTTGAATGTTTTTTACATGTAATTTACATGTAAAAAATCACATTCAGCAAAGTCACATTCTTGGGTGCCTATAACACGTGCGGTGACTTTTTGACCTTGAAAAAATCATGTAAAATACTTACATGGAGAGCAGACTTTTTGACATCATGTAAAAAACATCGCCGGAGTTTTATGCTGAACCCTATTGTGGATGTGGGCGTGGTCAGCATGCCGAACACATTCATGGGGGACCTCCCACTTGAATTCATCATGCTGCAGCCCCAGACCGCAGCAAGGGTGCAGAAGGATGTGGCCCTCACCACGAAAGTACAGGCGAGTATCTTCAAGGACCGCTAAGAGTCCCCTCTAGGTGAATGTTGCTGACATGGGTGGATGGAGCATGTTGCGGACATGAAGACGCAACACAAGTTGCTCATGGTGCAGGATTGTGTTCACTGAGGCTATCTAGAAGAACCTGAACAGAAAATTGTGTAAAGGATGTTGAAGGAGCAGGTAAAGGCACTGCGTATGTCTTCAGTTTGCACATGTCTTTAGATTGTGCGAGGGACTGTACTCGGGCTGTGGCTGATTTATAGCAGTATGAGGGAGGTGTTCTCCCCCAGATGCGGAGGTTCTGGCCAGGGAATCGGTGTGTCGCTGGTGTGTATATCTTACTTCACATCACTGGGGGCATGAGCCCATGATTCCGCTGGGAACATTTTGGACACATCACGATAACAGTCACAATGTAACTCTAATGTTACGGATGTAAACATCACGGAATAATTTGAATTATTTTGAGTGAGCTCATTGTGGAATAATAGTGATATTATTCAGAAAGACACCAAAATGAGACAACAATTTTGCTCTGGCCAGCATTCCTACAATATATTGGTACCATTCTGAATGGATCTTAAGGGTACATTACAAATGTGATCAATGTGATGTTACGATGAGTACCAGATGCTTTCCATCATGTGCCAGCTGGAATCATCTTGAACGCATCACGGATGTCCTAATATGGTTAGTACATTACTATATATAGTAACAACAATTATGCAATCACAATGAATCCATTGGGAACATCTTGAAGACATCATGGTCACTCACAGGTATCATTTGAGATTTTCTTCCAAGAAACATTTAGGATGCTATCACAATAATGCTTGAATGCTGTCATCTGCAGCATTGGGGTCTCATTCTTGCATCTTTATAGATGCTATCAAAATTGTGCTGCAATGTTGATGCTTAAAACATTCTAAAACATTCAAAATAATTTTAAAATGTATGTACTTAAAACATTGCATAATTATTTGGACTGTTATTACAATGTGTCCAAAATGTTTCAGGCGGAATCATGGGCCCATGTCCCCGATGCATTGTTGCCCATGCTAAAACCTTTTCCTGCTCTTTTCCTCTGCCGCACATTATGATGCTGATGGCAAAATGGAAGGGCAGCAAGCATGAACAGGCACTCCTCCTGAAATGCTGAGTGCCTTTGTGGGCATATTGTGGGCATACTGATCATGACATGAAGCCTTTTCATGCTGTGGGCATGCCAGTCATGGCCATCTTGATCATTTGAGCTTCCTCTCCATTCGTCCTTCCGTGTTTGCATATGAGGATGGGCGACAGGTTTTCGGACAGATCTGAACTGGCCAAATGCTCAGCACGGATGCCGCTGAGATCTATGTGAGTGGTAGTAGCACCATCGTCTAAACAGGTTCGGTGTCCACTCACTGAAATTTATCTTACTGGACGAGTTACCAAAATCTTAGTCCCCCCTAGCATGGGCAATAACTCTCTTTGTGATGGTCCATCTTCCCCTGTTAAGGTCTTAGCCAGTGTGCATGTTAAACGACGGCAGCCAAGACTGGCACCACGTCCAATAACTCACGACACCACTTGGGATTTGGGTACAAACGAGCAAGGTAACACTACATTAACTACCTCCCTTTTAACCATGCCACTTCAGGGCAGGTGGTGCAGCTCGCACGCCCAGCGCTTATTCGGCTGCCATTCCTGCAGCTCCTGTACCTGGCTCTGATGCCCCCGAGGTCCACCACTATCCCGCAGCACCTCCCAGGCCCCAAACGCCAACACGCCCCCTCGAGCCAGCCACCTAACCAGCTGCCTTATTCGCAGCTCCTTCCACCCTAACCGGCATGTTGGGAATGCCCGGAGGGAGCAATCTGAGAGCATCCAGTGAAGTCGTTGTGGCTGGCACCACATTACATAATATTCCAAATATATAAAGTAATCCTAATTAGGGAGCTCGGCATATAAGCTCGAGCTCTCCTTGCCCCGCTCCATCATCCGCTCGCTCGTCCTCTCAGATTCTGGCAAACGCTACAGGTTATGAGCCCCGGCAGCACTATATAAATGCATCATACAGCTATCTGAGTCTACTAGCGAAAAATCTACGAGATATATATAAAAGTGCGGAATTACCCCTATGCCAAAGAACACTGACTATGCAGATTCTCACAATCCATACCGCATGCCATACCTCACGGAGGACAATTGGCTTCCGTGGAAGAGGCGTGTGCAACATGTATGGAAGAGGAAGCGTCTTACCAAATATGTGACCGGTGAGATCCCGATTCTGCAGCCCCTGCCAGATATAGCGACGGCAGAAGAGAAGGCAGCGAGGGAAGCCGAGATCGCAGATTGGGAAGACAAAGATAGTGAAGCAGCAGAGGTCATGTTGATGTCCATGGCTGACGATCAGCTCATTCATGTGAGCGAGTCGGGGACATCACATGAGATTTGGGAGAGTCTTAGAATCGTGAAGAAGAAGCCAGGCCATCACGGCCTTCTGGCACACCAGCATATGTTATATCAACCTCGAGCTCCAGATGACAAGGACATGGATGACTGGTTGAAGGAACTGTGTCAGCTTCGGGAGAAGCTCCACCAGATGGGAAAGCTCATCCCGGACGACGAGTTCGTTTCAATTATCCTCATGTCGCTACTGGAATCCTGGGATTCATTCATGAATTCCTATTTCGGAGCAGCAAGAGGGCAGTCACAGTCTGGCAATGGAACTCAGATTACATCACAAGATCTCATCGCAGTCATTCGCAATGAGAACTGCCGCCGAAAGAGCTGAGATGCCGAGCAGGCTGCCACAGGCACATCGCAGACTCAAGCCCTCTTCACCCGGAATGCGGAGCGAAAGAAGGGTAAGAGCATGATGAGACCATGTGACATCTGTGGTCGGAAGAACCACATCACGTGGGATTGTAAATTCTGCGGGCACCCCAAAATGAAGTGCGAAAACTGCGGGAAATGGAGGCACAAGACCTTGGAGTGCTACGCCCCCGGAGGAATCTTATCTGATAAGGCACGAGATGAGCCGCCGCCGAAGAAGTCAAAGTTCGAAGCGCGTGAGCGCAATGATCCGCAGATCGCTGGATCAAGCCGTGCCAAGAGAGATCAGGCGAGAATTGCAGAAGATGATGACAAAAACTGTGTATCATTAGGTTTAGAAGATTCAGATGCTTCATTTTATGGTTAGTTTGCAGATTCAGAAAGCACCTCCCACATCACTTCTCGCCATAATGTTTTCCAGACCTATGAGCCCTTATGCAACCACTTAATCTCCGGGATAGGTCCAGCGCCTATCAAGGCTTTAGGCCGAGGCACTGTAGCCATCCGAAGTAAAGTGGGAAATCGCATAGTAAGGTTCAATCTTCGCAATGTGCTACATGCGCCAACAGCACCCAGCAATCTTCTATCCATTGCATGGCTTGATGAAGCTGGTGGAAGGGTACACATGGGTGACAGTCATGTGCTAATCATGGATAAGCATGGTGCTACACTTGCTGTAGGTAAGAAACAAGGTCAACTTTATCAATTAAATCTCGAGCCCGTTTCTACCGCTTTCGAACCATATATGTCATGCAGGAAGACACTCCTCACACCTGGGATGAGTGGCACAGAATTTATGGCCATATTGCGAAACCAGCGCTCACACGGTTACACTGGGAGCACATGGTCGAAGGCCTAGAAATCGCGCCCAGCCCAGATAATATTGAGTGTGAAGCCTGCGTACAAGCTAAGGCCATCAGGAAGTCGTTTCTGAAAGAGGCAGCAAAAAGAGACACAGTCTCCAGAGAATTAACACACACAGATGTGTGGGAACCGGCTCCGACGACTGCCCTACAAGGATGGCGTTATTTCATCTCATTCACGGATGACTGTATCAGATTTACTACAGTATCATTCATGAAAACGAAAGACGAGACATCCGAGAAAGTCAAATTTTATTTGACAAATCTTGACCGTCATTATGGGACTCAGCGTCGTCAGCTCCGAATGGATAATGGATGCGAATATCTAAATAACGACTTGACACAATGGTGCCAATCCCGAGGAATTGAAACAGGCACTACTGCGCCTTATTCTCCATCCCAGAATAGGATTGCGGAACATCTAAACTGCACGTTATTATCGCGCGCGCACGCTATGCTCTACGCACGTGACATTCCACGCTATCTGTGGGCAGAAGCAGTGGGTCATGCCACATACATCAAGAATCACGCACCTATGCGCGCATTACCTGACATGACGCCATACGAGAAATGGAATGCGCAGAAGCCTAATATTGCGTATCTACGTGAATTCGGATCCAACGTATGGGTGCTAAATGAAGCACTTAACTTATCGAAGTTAGCGCCGCACACCATGAAGTACATCTTCATTGGCTATCTCGATGGACTGCGCGCCATTCGCTACTACGACGCGTCCACACGCGCTGTAAAAACTTCGCGCAATTATCATTTTGTGCCCGCTTCGCAGCTTCCACTCTCTGTGACAACCGACACATCAGAGCTACAGGAGGAGTCCGTGTCAGATCAAACGTGCGAGGGGGAGTCTTCCACTGAGAATGCACCGCGTTTCGATCTGAAGAAGTGAAAGCATATCGAAGTGGAAGAAGCGCAGGTACCTGAAGAACCTCGGAGATCAAAATGAAAGATCACACGTCCGAACTATCGGCTCCTCAATGACCCTGAGGCAGATGACGATGACATGGATGCTGCTGCATCTGCCGGAATAATCTACCAGGCAATGTGCACTTCTATGGATCCAGATGAGCCAAAATCGTTACAGGATGTGAAGAACTCACCGGAATGGCCCCATTGGGAGCAAGCAGTGCAAGCTGAGATGAAGCAACTGCATGATATGGGGACATGAGATCTTGTAGATCTACCCCCAGACCGCAAAGCGGTAGGCAACAAATGGATCCTGGTCAAGAAGACCAACAAGGAAGGTGAGGTAATCAAATACAAGGCACGTTTAGTGGCAAAAGGCTACTCACAGATCCCTGTCATGGACTACATGGAGACGTTCTCGCCCGTGGTCCGCCTTGAGATGATACGAGCTGTCCTAGGGCTAGCTGCAATCCTCGATTGGAAAATTCAACAGATGGACGTCAAAGGCGCCTATCTAAATGGAATTCTGAAAGAGGAGATTTATATGCGCCAGCCTGAAGGGTATGCAGACCAGACGCACCGTGTATGCAGATTACACAAGACCCTCTATGGACTCAAACAAGCCGGGCGTGAGTGAAATATTCAACTTAACCATGAGCTAATAAATGCGGGTTTTAGGTGATTATTCTCAGATCCTTGCGCATATATTCGGATCAGAGGTAGAAAAGTAGAAATCATTACCGTATGGGTAGATGATCTACTGATATTCACCAATGATCCTAATATTATGGGTCATCTGAAGCATGAACTTCAGACCATGTTTGAAGTCACTGACCTTGGCGATCCGAAGAAGATCATCGGGATAGAAATTGAGCGAGATCGTGCAAAGCGCATGATTAAAATCACTCAAGATAAATATATTGTTTCTATCCTGCAAAAAGAAGGGTTAGCGAACTCAAATGTGGTAGGCATGCCTCTTGATCCGAATATTCCCCTCGAGAAGGAGGAAATTGGGATCGATGATGTGCAAAACTGTAGCAACGGATATGCATCACTCATCGGATCTCTAATGTATGCTGCTGTGGCAACGTGCCCAGATATTGCTTATGCAGTACAACGCTTAAGCTCTTTCACTGCCAATCCTGGCATGGCACATTGGACAGCTGCAAAGCGCATCCTTAGATATTTATCTGGCACACGAGATGTCGGAATAGTATATGGTCCCACAGAAGGGAAACCATACCTCGAACAATGTAAATTTAAGGGATATTCCGATGCCAATTTTGCCAATGATGAAGATCGAAAATCGATCTCAGGATATCTTTTCCTAGTAGGCACAGGTGCGGTAACATGGAGCTCAAAGAAGCAATCCACTGTCGCATTATCTACTACAGAAGCTGAATATACAGCATTTGCTCAAGCTGCAAAAGAGATGGTATGGCTGCAAAATCTATTCAAAGAAATAGGTTTTGAACAGACTGAACCGACAATCTTGAACGGCGATAATATGAGTGCTATATCAATTGCGAAAGATCTGCAATTCCATGCGCGATCAAAGCATTTCGATATCAGACATCATTACATTTGAGAGAAAGTTAATGATGGAATTATTCAGGTGAAATATTGTCCGACAGGTGATATGACTGCAGACATCTTTACCAAGCCTCTTGCTAAGCCCAGGCATCAAAAACTAATGGGATTACTAGGGATGCCCGTCGGCTTGAGGAGGAGTGTTGGGAATGCCCGGAGGGAGCAATCCGAGAGCACCCAGTGAAGTCATTGTGGCTGGCGCCACATTATGTAATATTCCAAATATGTACTTATATATAAAGTAATCCTAATTAGGGAGCTCAGCATATAAGCCCGAGCTCTCCTTGCCCCGCTCCATCATCCGCTCGCTCGTCCTCCCGGATTCTGGCGAACGCTACACGGCACTCCATGGTCTGCTGCATTTCTCTAGCACCCTGGCTACAGGCACTCCATCCTGATGCCCGCCCTGCCATGTCCGGCCCAGCCCACATCGCCCTGCGCATTTCACCACCTAATCCCGGCCCAGTCACACCCACTGCCTTGCCTCAGCCCCAGCTAACCGCCCCAGCCTCGGCCCCTCTTGTCCATGTGCCCCGTCCCTTGGTCCGGCCCAGCACTTCGCGTGTGATCTTGCATCCATATCGCCTTCTCGATCTGCACAGTCTGGGGTCCCCCCGAAGGATCCTGGGTACCCCCCACTGCACCCCATGCTCACAATCACGCCCAGGCTAGGACAGCCCCCTCTCCCCTCCCCACTCTCCAATGGATGCTACGCACCCTATTCCAGTGCCTTGTAACAGTGCCCCCTCAACCTCTGCCTCCTCCCTACACTGCCCACCATCCACCCCTCATGCTTGCACCTTGAATGGCCCAGTGCACGGCACCACGGTGTTGGTTGCGTCGAAGAAGGTCAGCCCAGGTTGACTAGATGAGAGCCCAGAGTATAACGGAGAGTCCCAGAGTATCGATGGCTCGTTTGTGTTGAACGACGGCAGCCGAGACTGGCGCCACGTCCAATAACTCACGACACCACTTGGGATTTGGGTACAAATGAGCAAGGTAACGCTACATTAACTACCTCCCTTTTAACCATGCCACTTCAGGGCAGGTGGTGCAGCTCGCACGCCCGGCGCTTATCCGACTGCCATTCCTGCAGCCCCTGTACCTGGCTCCGATGCCCCCGAGGTCCACCACTATCCCGCAGCACCTCCCAGGCCCCAAAAGCCAACAGTGCACAGTACTCAGATGCTGATGGAGGCTTTTGACATTGCCGCTTGCATGCACCGTGATCAGAAATGCCACCACATAATGTGAAACAAGCATCCAGTGCTCGTCCGTGCACGGTATTTGGATTAATTTATTAGACGGAGTGGACCATCCAGAACATTGGAGATGGGGCACATGGAGAACCAGAGAGAATACTACAGCTGCTAGTCAATTGTTCCACCTGGGGGTCATCTAGTGGTAACGCCTTTTCTGTATCTGTATCTCTGACTTCACGGATCTTGGGAATGGGAGAAACGACACTATTCACCAAATCGGGAAGACTATGAAAATGACAAAAAAAACACCAGGCGTGCAGCGGCAATGCGTGTTCAAAATCCCCATCAATGTGCGGTGTGGATCCTGTTCGCAGCTCGCTTGATTCCGTGGATCATACATGGAATGATGGAGTACGCGCCCGAAGTCATCACGGATGGTGGGCGCAGTCTAACAATCACACTGATAAGAACTTACCCCTGTGACATCCTCCGCCAGCTCTTGCACCCGCCAATGAAGCTGTTAAAGGCTTTGATTGTGTGGACGGGAGAGCGGAACCAGGCTGAAAGAGGGCATGCCCTCCCAGTCGGCTGGGTGCCAAATTCTCTGCTGAGGTCGCTCCGTGTGCAGATGAGCTGAGTCTCGAATGTACAGAAGATGCAGCTGAAGTCGTAGAGGATAGCAGGACACGTTTATGCTGATAGGAAGAGGCCACATTGGATGTCTCAGACGTGCGATAAGAGCCTACAAATGAGAGATCATGATGCACATTACAACGGAATCACATAGAAGGTGCTACTCACGTCGCACCCCCCCTCTAGCAGGAATGCGATGGCAAAGACAGTTGAAATCACACCGCCCTCCCCCATGCCAGATCCGGAACTATCTGCAGCAGCTATTGCCGAGTTCATCACCAGAATCAATCCGTGACTTCGGTTCCCCCCTTGCCATGGCTGTTATATCTCCTTTTGCCTCATATGCACCACCTGCAACCCGTTCTACATCATATCAATGTCGGGCTTGAATCACTCAACCTTTCTTTGCCCCGCTTGTTCCTCTTTGCTACCTCCTCGCAGGTCGATGAACAAGGCTTCCATGTCTCCTTAGGTGTTGCTACAATTGACCAACATGTTCCATTAGAAAACACCTGTAATTAATTCATATTAAAGTTCTAATATAATATTCGTAGAGCCTGAGTAATTAGAATGTGGGGAAGCTGTCTATCTTGATGGGATTTCGCATCATCATTATGCGCCGCTATGTCTATGCATTATGGGGAACGAACAAGGTGGAATATTGATCAATGACCATGGCCATTGGCCACACAACCTTGAAGACGCGACCACTGGAAATGTGATTCAAAGCTGCAGATGGATTTACGTGTGCTCTATTGACACGAGAAACCCATCATTAAATGCAAGATTATTTCTTTTAGAAGCAAAGGATCCTACCTTTCACATCCACTTATCTCAGACGTGCACCAGGAATGCGACCTGTGACATCTGCATTTGCAGTAGGCATACTCGATTGAGACAGACTGAGCATAAATGATGGTTAAATTAGTGGGAACTGCATGTGAACCATGGCATTATTCAGACTCACAGGAGCATTTCTTCATCATGGGTGAAGTCATAATCGGGTCGTCGATCAAGATTCTCAACCTCAACTGGATGCAACTGCCGGATCCAATCTGGATTATATGCATTAGTGGGCAAACAAGGGACTGCACGATGAGTACTATAATCTTGTGCGCGTGCAGAGCTGGAACCAATTATGGTTCGCAAACGAGGGAATGCGCCTCGGCTGTTCTCTTGCATGTAAAGCTTCGAGCAGAGATAGGTATTGTCGAAAACGCGCAGCCAACTTCTAAGCGCTGAGTTTCTCCAAGGCATAATGGATACCCGGTACGGTCGCACACCTAAGCCGGTGTTGATTGACTCGGGCTCATCAGAGCTCATTCCATCAGGTCCGAGGGACCGTAGCATATTGACATGTTTGCGAAGCTGAGGCGTGTGGACTGCGATCTTCAGCCGACGTTGAAACAGCTGGCATACAAAAGCAAAGATCAGAAAAACAATGATTAAAAGGGATTTGCACACAGACTGTCTATCTCCTTTGATCCCTTGCATGTTGATGGATACGGTCAGCCTCGGCCTCAGCTGTTTCAGCCTGTCTTTCATAACGCATCTTCAATGACCGAAAATGAGACTTGAACGCGGCAGTTATAGCTTTCTCGTTATGACCATTGGTTGGATATCGTCCTCATCATCACCCACGTCTCCTTCGTCAACGTCTACATCATCAGAAGACCTGCGCTGATTTGAGGTGGATGAGCTCGGTATTCTTGCTATCATCGTCGACATCTTCCGCATCTCTTTCACTAACTCGCTCATCGCTTCCGCTAAGTCCCGAATTTCATCTCGAGCGGCAGGTGTCGGCTGAGAGTATCGGTATATTAATGGCACAATAGTACACACACCAAAAACATGAGGATACCCACTGCACGTTCTTGGCTAGGCCTCGGTGGAGGTGATATTTGTGGAGAAATCGATGTTGCGGTTATGAAGGATGAAACTCTTTCAGTTTCTGGAAGGACAGTAAAGCCAGAAGTGTCGAGAAAAGGCCAGTCTGAAGTATGCATGCTGCGCGTATGTTGCAGTTGAGATGCTTGGTTCACTGTTTGAGTACAATTGTGATGTATCCTTGGTATCTTATACGTACTGGATAGCTGAGATTGCCGTGACTGGCTAGTATCACCTAATGAGGATGAGGCTGGATCTGTACCGGGTTGTTGTGCTGCACGAGAAAGAGGAGAGATATGTAAGATTGATCGAGAGCGTATAATGGGCTCTGTGAAAAGTGGCAGGGCATGAGATCAAGTCCGAATGAGGGAGAAAGCATATAATCGCACCAAATGCTTGACAATGGGAGGATGGCTGACCATTCCGCAGGCCATCAATATGAGATCTCAGAGATGGTGACAATGGCCCCGAGAATTGTGTCTGTTCATGCTGGCGGTGCCACATGGCAGATTCATCATCGACTTGAGCTTCTGAGAACCCATACACAGCAGTAGGTCTGTGCAAAAAACCATCGGAGGCACTGATGCCTGCAAGCTCTGGATAGAGAGGTGCGTAACCAGAGTATCCCTGCGCTGGCCTCTGCGCATCTCCCATGACTTCAGATATGGCCAATGACTGTTGCGCTCCTGTAACGGGCTGCAGCATTTGTGGCGTAGGTGCTGCCCCATCAGATGGTAAGTTGGAACTGTGAGACAAACTCTCGCCAGAGTCAAGGAGTGACATATCGACATCCATGTCGGTGAGAATGTCATTCTATGAAAAACATGAGCTATGGGCAGATATCCTCCAGCAGAGAAGGTTCACAGATCATACATGAGGTAGACGAGTCTGTGCTTCACCACGAAACGCCGGACGTGGACGTGGGCGTGGGTGTTCAGGGCGGTCTCCATTCCCATTACTGGTTGAAACTGAGTATGAATGTGTGTCGGCTACAGTAGCACCAAAAGCGTGGCAGTCAGATCTGCCTTCCGTAGCATCAGGTATGGTCACATCGCCAGATAACAGAACTGCGTGCGCTGGACTTCTAGTTACGGTGTCTCCACCATCATCTCGAGGCTGTTGAGGGTTATTCTGATGACCTTCCCGACCTTGCCTTATGGCCGTAAACCGGAATGCTGAACTCCACCCAGAACCGGGAAGACTTGAGCCCTACGTAATCATTTCTAAGGTGAGTCATCATAGAAGTGTGAGTTGCAGCTTACTATTCCTGCTGTACGATCTTGCATGAAACCGAAGGGTATAGACCCACGTTTGATGCCGTTTGACATCTTTGCAGGCTGATGGACACTATGATATCGACAGCATTGATAGTTAAACACAGACTTACAGATTTGTCGAACCTCCGGGCTATCGCCTAGTCAACGTTCATCAGACATATGAAGCGCACTCATTCGTCACATCCATGTTGACATATACTCACCCAGCTCGACGACTGCCCCCCTTGACCATCATCATCCTTGGCTATTATCCTGGCTGTCCTCTGCGAGGCATCGGAGATGGTCTCTGGTCGTATTCCACTTGATGTATTGCCGACCTGAGACTCCACCGTATTCAGCATGCATAGCTCCAAGCTGCTCAAATCTGGAGAAGTTCTTGAGGTTGCTGCACTAGATCTATGAGTAGGATTTGTTGCAGATGCAGCATGGTTTCCAAGTTCTCCAGAGTATTCTTCCTGGTCATGTCCACTGCATAAGGTTGAAGATGTAAAATCGTGTTCCGCATGATCAGTGCGAGTGGAAGCAGTTAGCTGATCGGCTCCAGGCATCGTAGGGGGTTGTGCTGGATGAGGATCTTGATCGAATAACCATCCACCCGCTCCATGTAAGCTGGTGCCCTCCACGGAATTGTGAGCATTGGTGACTGAAGCGGTGCCAGTGCTGACGCTTGTTGATATGTGAGAGTTGTGACCGCGCTGTCCAATCACATCTACCGGAAGCGTGGAGGAGTGCTGCGGCGTACCACTAGGAGGGAGCGAAGAGAATTGAAGGGGGGACATGACATCAGCTTCGTTCGCATCACGGCTGATTGCATCTGCCGTTTCCCTTGTAGCAGGAGGCATCATTCCAGGCATGTAATGGTGAAATTTGAAGGTGAACGGCACGGTGGGAGGAGTGCTTATAGTGTGATCTGGAAGTTGTGAAGCGGTCCTAGAGGACGATGCCCTAGATCTCATTCGCATATTCTGCACAGTGCTCTGCTGCTGGAAATGTCGAGTATGATGTGGCTCTCTTTGCTTCGTCGGAATACGTCGTCTCTTATGAGATCCAAGAGTGGGATGAAAGATTGTTGTACGGATGCTGTTACTAGAAGGACGTCGTCGTGCTGTCATCTGCGATATGTTTGTTGTTGCTGTTTGTCTGCTGACGGACTGCAGTAACTCCTCTGGAAGCAATGCATTGCATGGAGGTGCTGCCCTCTTTCTGGCTCGTATGAGTTGCGAATCTGTAGATATAATCAACAAACAATCAATCAGTGAAGCGATTATGCTATTGACTTGCTGCGCAGCCATATATTCCAGTTGAAGATTCAGCAGGTGGTGAAAATTCTGTTTAAGCATGTCAGGATCAAACGAGTACTGGACCACAGTAGATTTCAGGGACAGACCAGAAGTGCTCTCGAATTCGAAGTCTCCCTCTGTATCTGTGCCATCAATGTCACGTTCCACACTCTCATCTGGGGAAATTTCACATTTGTACATTTAATTGAATGATACATGCATGCTTACCATTGTCGGTGGGCATTGTGTCGCAAGCAGATTGGAAGCCGTCATCAGAGATTTCCGCTGTCAACTCCCATCTATCCCGTCGATTTCGTGCCATACTTGACATTGCGGAAATGAAAGTGCAAGAGAAACCAGCAATCAATCCGACGTGGCAGAGTGTCTCGAAGTCGACCAGCCACAGCCAATTCTTCCCGGCCTGACTGCTTGTGAATTTGACAGTTAGTCATGACCGTTCCTTTCCAGCGCATTGCCACACAGTATAGCCTGGTTCCTTTCCAGCGCATTGCCACACAGTATAGCCTGTTGTCATACTGTCTTCGCAACTAACCCTTTCGGGCCACCACCGTGGACAGCCAGCGACTAATGCAGTTTTGACAATGCTTGTTCGAATTCACAGTTCAATAGACTCGGTGATGCTTTTGGCCAAGTCAACTCACTTGCATGCAATGCTGCAGGATGCAGGAGAAGTGATGAATTCGATTGTGCTTGACAGCATGGAGCATTCCTTTGACTATCAACTAAATGCCGAGAACACATACATCTGGTCATTTGCATGCCGCTGTGGCTCCTACTGATGGTGTCGCTGACAGCGCTATTGTCGATTGAGACACGATAGCAACAGATACAGTCCCTGTCATGACCAGGCGTGCACTGACGATTCGCGAAGCTGTGTACTAGTGAGTCAAATAGCGCTCGCGCTTCGTCCGCTCATGGCGGAGCATCTAGTCAGATACGGCCAGATCGGCGTGGTGGCATGCGTACCGAGCAGTACTGAGTACTGAATATGAATGCTCTGACCTCTCCACTCAGCGCCCGTCAGCTAACCCGATTATGAGCGCCCATAATGGCGAGCGGCATATGGTCAATATTGAGATTCACAACGGCCGTTTGACGACGAGCGTGATGGTGCCGGGCGCCATCGACATCGACTGTTCGCAGATAATTGCCCAGCATGGCAGTGCCATGGTGGCAGTGCAAGCTCTCGCGTTCATTCAGGTGCATATAATTTGGCCGAGAAACACGCACCAGCTGTGTATGGCAGAAAGACGTTCTTCTGTATCACCCTCGACTAGCGGTTGTGACCTCCGTTCTCTGTCCTCCGACCAGTAGCGCCAAGAGTGTGTCCTCTAATGTCAGAACACTGGGCCATCTGCCATCGAGTCTGCAGCCAAGCTCGATTGCGATGCAGGAAGAATAGTTTGAAACCAATGAAATCCGCTGCTAGGCAATGACCAACTGAAGGAATTACGACGAGTTTGCTCCACTGCTCACAGCGTCTGTTGGCCACCGGCGCTCACGTCAGCTCTCCGATCACAGAACCAAGCCCACGGTTCACAAAGTACACCTCGAGTTGGAATTCACAGAGGCACACGCAACGCATGACCGCAATCGCTATCTCAGTGCCTAAGCATCTACCATAGAGTCCCTGGAAAGCGTAGACATTGTCTCCCAGAAAGACTCGTCCAGCATAAGGACGTCTCTATGATCAGAGAACAGTAGCGCCTGCTCGCACATCACGAAGGTCGTACTTTGACGATATGACTCGGAGTGTGCCAGCATCCTGAGATCCTCGTGGAGTTCCTTCATAAATTCGGTCAACTTTCACGCCGACATGAAGGCAGGCAACTAAAGACATCTGTCAGACACGGAAGTGCGAACAAAGATGAGCATACACACCACAGATATGGCCGCTTCCCTAATTGCAGACACCCGTTCTCCCAACGCTGCCATCAACAGATTCCTGGAGATCGCGATTCGATACCAATGATACCCAAGAACAACGGAAGGCTCTTGATCACCTCTTCTCGCTCTCTCCAACCCTTCAGCGGGGCGCTGTACTCCACTTCAAGGCTCTCGACAACCTCGGCTCGTTCAAACTCTACTAATGCACGCACGAATGTCACGGAGCACTCGACAGCCTTCAAATGCACTTCAGGCTCGTCCGCGCCTATGCTAGCCCACCACACAGTCATCAAATTCTCCTTTGCATGCTGCGGCCCGACAATTTTTGCCATTTCCCTGAGGGAGGCAGTGAGTGTACACCGTACGCTGAACGACAGATTTTGGGATAGAGAACGGTATAAGTCGCGCAGCTCGGGCCAGCGCGTTTGTCCAAGTGATAACGCCACTGCCGGATAGCTGAATGCACAGACAAGAGGACGGCTGGCATCGTCATAGATGTCAGTTCCTGCATTCGAGACATTTGAGTCACCTGACTCTGAAGTAAATGCTGATATCGGTGGTGCTGACGATGGCCTTTGAGGCCAGTCAACCTTCGGAGACATTTCCCTGTGCCGCTATCGTTACGTATTCTGAGGGAAATGTTGAGGAGCTCCCTGGGAAACCCGCTTTCATCATCAATGAAGGTATGCATGCATCATTCTCCGAGCCAGTGGGTGTTCATCGAGAGCAAGCAGGAGCATGACATCCAGCGCCAGCGAACGACAGTCATTTGATTGGAGCCTCGAGAGGATAGTCGGAAGGGGCGAACAGCACGCAATGTTGGACGTGCCACGTCGGATCCTGGTACATCGTTTCAAATAATGGGAGCTGAGTCAAATTATCAGAGAACTGTATTCAAATGGCGACGATATAAGAGATAACTCACCAACGAGGAAATGACTAGCCCGTCGGGGACAACTTTCGCCAACACCCCTACTGCAAATGCAGCCTCTCTCCGCACTCAATAGATGGGATCTCTTCCAACTCTTTCTACTTCACTAACGAAAGTGAGCTTTGTCTCCTCCTTGAGAACACCTACGATAGGATCACTCAATACTCATAGTGCAATAGATGAAACCGGAGTTGCACTTACCACTGGCTGTCACTGCAGCCATCAAGCTCATACTCGAAAGCTTACCAACAGCGGCTTCCTCACTAATGTCTTCCTCTTCCTCTTCCTCGTTCACGTCCTCTCCTTCATGCACCGTACCTGATACATCCTGCATGGTGACATCACCATCAGGGAGTCCAGCGCTCAACCATGCAGACACAGGTGTTTGCACACCCTCCTCCGGTTTGCTATTTACTTATGTATGTCCAAAAGCGGATTGCGATAATGTGTCATGTAGATCAATGCGCAGACCCAAGACTGTCGTCTTGGGGCTTTCGGAAGCCCAGTTCTCCGACATCATAACATCGCCTTGATCTTGGTCCTCCATCTCCACATCGACACCTCCCTTTCCCAAGGTTGCTTGCATGGAGATGATATTCGGGCCGGTCGGAGTCACCGATCCGCCGGAAGCGCAGAAAGACTCCGGTGAGCTCGCCGGCGATGTTGACGATGAGGTTGAACTTGATGACGTGAGGGATGGTGTCAACAAGTTGGACTCCTATGAGGGAGAATGGCGTTGGTGCGGGCACCCTGACAACATCGGAGAGCAGAAGAGGCGTCTGAGTGGGAGTGGTCAAGGTCGAAAGCGACGATGAAGTCAGCTGCGTTGATGAAGGTCCAAACTGAGTAGGTTGCAAAGATGCAGAAGTAGCCAGCGCATGTTCGGCGGCTGCCCGAGATGCTTGTATGCTGTGTGTCGACATGGAAACCTCAGACTTTGCGTAAGGTGGCAGGAATGATCTATGGCAGACCATTGTAGATGCAAGGAGGACTGAGTTTTGCCGATCATCGTGAACATGAATATTGGCCTTGGGCAGCCATTGTGAGTGGGAGTGTCGGACTCGCATGACCATTGTATGAGGATATGTAACGAAGGGTCAAGACGACGATGTTGAGGGCTGCAACTGCAGGTCATAGACTAGTGTGCAGAAGACTATGCAGGTCTCCGTGCATGGCTGCCGTGCTGTTACACATGAGCTGGAGGATAGGCGGTGTGTGTAGTACAGTCCACACAAAGGCATCTGTATGACATCGAACTTATGACTTCGGGATGGTATAACATCGCGAGCGTACTTACATACCATCTTGGTGCTAAATCCTTGTTTTCATCCTGAAAGGAAGGCACGCCTGGCCGGGTTCCACATCTTATCTTTACTGGACTGCTTGAGGTTACGTGCTTTTGCTTGAGAAGATGTGCCAGAGACAGGCCTTTGAGTCTCCTGGATGTCACGGATCATCCTCTAAAGCAGAGAAATATACCGTTAGCATGTACCGCTCGGGCCTTGGACTTGGCACACACCTGACCGCCTTCGCACACTCACAGACTGTATGCGTCGTTTTGATGTTTGGACCATCTCACCTTATCCCAGAAGCACATGGCAGGATTTCCAGGTTTCTGACGAAATGACGCCACATCCGTGCACCGTGGTATACTGAGCAAGCTGGCATAAATAGCACAAGACTCTCTGGATCGAATCACAGGATCGTGATAGAACGGGGGCCTGTGACGGGCTGCAGATACACTGGTCACCAGTGCTCGAGCTACGAGAGCCTCTGTCATGTGCTTCGTCAGAGCGGATGCCTGTCGTTGAGGGGACACAGTTGAGCTAGCACTTTGCAACATTTGGTAGGTCACAGAAAGATCCTTTCAAACATATTCATTTACATCTCCCTCCAACTCGATTGTGATAACGGGCACCAAGTATGCTCCGAGGGACTGACCAGCGGAACCGCGCATACTGATGTGGATGGTGTCCTTCGGAAGGCCTTCCTTGCCATATAATTTCGAAATGCGGTAAGAAAGGGATGTACCTAGCGCACGATCAGTGTTAGTGACATCACAGTGGACGTGCACTGGAAGAGCCTTGGTAAGCGCAGGCTCAGATTCATCAATAAACTTGTTGTCGAGAAGGATATACAACTTGTGGTCTTCAGGATGGACACGATAGGTCGCGGCGCCGCGGCGCATCCGCCAGGCAGGCTTCAAGACCGCGGATAGGTCAAGGTGCGCAGTCATCGGCGTGTGAAGCTTCTCGTTCACCCAAAGTATACCAGCCCTGCCAACCATCTCATTGATGGTACGGAAACCGAGCTTCGCCATGTGCGTGTGTAAATCTTCAGCAATGTAGTAGAAGAAGTGATGACTTGCTCAGGCTGGCCAGTGAACTTGGTGCGCAGCTGGGGATCCTGTGTTGCGATTCTGACAGGACAAGTGTTCACTATCCCAACTGATCAGCTTCCACATGTAAACCCGATACGGAAAATACTTACAATGACACTTCCTCATCATAATACATATCATCGTGATCAGAGGTGTCATAGCAAAACCCCACTCCTCCACACCCAATAGACACGCAATCGCGATATCATGACCAGTACGAATCTGTCCGTCGGTCTGGAGAGTGACGCGTCCACGCAGATCATTAAGCACCAGGGTCTGATGAGTCTTGGCCAAACCAAGCTCCCAAGGGAGACCAGCATTTTTGATACCAGTCCAGCACAAGGCACCAGGCCGGAGATAAGGATGTGATCTGCCTTCGCCTTCACAACACGGCTGGCAACAATACCAACACCAACCTCAGACACCAGCTTCTCAAAGCACGTGCCCTGGGATTCGAGCAGTTCAGATCGTAGGTAAGCTGCTTGAGATCTTTGACAGAGTAGACACGTGGTGAGGTGGTGGCGAGATGAGACCGACGTCCGCAGTAGAATGACGAGTGCGAGCAATGGGACCAGAGACCTTATGTCCCGGGAGCTCTCCTCCTTAGCCGGGCCCTGCACCCTGCACCATCTTGATCTGCAGTTCATAGGCATCGGCAAGGTAATTCGAGGTGACACCGAAGCGGCCAAACATGACTTGCTTGATCGCAGAGCGCATAGTGTCACCATTCAGCAAGACAAGCGACCGCTCTGCATCCTCACCTCCTTCACCCGTGTTCGAATTGCCGCCGAGACAGTTCATGGCAATCCCAAGCGTAGAGTGAGCCTCCATGGAGATGGAACCGTACGACATCACACTAGTGACGAAGTGACAGACGATCTCATTCCATGGCTCGACCTGCTCCATCGGAATCGGGGCGGCATCTTCGTAGCAGAAGTCAAAGAAGCCACGGAGATGTACTGCCTTGGTCTGCTCGTTCGAATTATTTGCAGAGGCGTCATAGGCGCACTGGTTCTTCTCACGAACAGTGTCCTGCAGGTTCGCGATGCCTGTCAGATCGTTGATGTGCACCTCCGACCGGAACGCCAGTGGTAGTGGCCCGACTCCGGCATACCAAGAGGGATGATCGTCTCACGGGATGGCCAACCACGCTCGTGCGTTTCAAATGCATCCATCGCCAGCAGTTCGAACATAGCTCCCTGTACACGGTGACAGTACCGGTAAAGCAGCTCTTGATGACTTCAGTATGCAAGCCGAGTGCCTCGAAGATCTGAGCTCCCCTATAGGATTGCAGAGTGGAGATATCCATCTTCGACATCACCTTCTGAACACTGTTGTCAACAGAGTGACGGAAGTTGTGCAGCAGGTCCTCGAAGGTCTTGTTGTCCTTGACCCTGTATCATGTATCAGTGGTGTCCTTCCACAATGATCAAAGATGTACTTACAATCCCATACTTCAAGCCTTTCATCGCATTCATCTTATACATCATACGAATGGGAGAACGGAGAAGAATATGGTGGCACTGCTCTAGCTTCATCTCGAGGAGGTTACCCTCGGGGCCGATGTATGCCTCGGGAGACATGACGATGTTCTCACGGATAGGGTCGATCGGAGGGTTGGTGACCTGTGTGAAGAGCTGGCGGAAGTACTCATAGACTAGGTGAGGCTGCGTCAACATGCATGCCAACGGCGCGTCGTTGCCCATGGACCCTAGAGCCTCCTTGCTGTCGGTGACCATTGGCATCAAGAGCAGGTTGAGCTGCTCGACAGTGTATCCAAAGGTGAGCAGCTTCAGATCGTCGCTGAGGGAGTACCCGTCCATCTGAGGATCAATGCCTTGTGAGCGCTTGACGCGCTTCACAATGTTAGGGACATGCAGGACGTGCACCTCGATCCAGGAGGCAAAGTTCTGCTTGGAAGCAGTATTGCGCTTCAGTTCCATCTTGTCAACGATGCGGCCCTCCTTGGGGCCAATGAGGAGCATATGACCTAGCTTAAGATGGCTCTTCGAAACCACCTTCTCGGGAGGAATGAAAACAGCCCAACCTCTGATGCGCAAACAATAACATCCTCATTCGTCACGAGAAGATTGTCAGCCTAGCCATGACGTCCAGATTCCACTCTCTAAGACCATCCTGCACTGATGCAAACTTAGAGGGCTGACACTGCCGGTCAGGGATGTATGGGTTGGGAACAGCTCCCTTTTCGCATTCCACCACCTCTGCACTCCCTCACGATTCATGGGCAGCTTGAGGGGTCCGATAGTGCTCGAATCAGAAGCCGTCGGGTGCATGTTGAAATACTCTCCTTGCGAGTTCGACAACGATACTGCCATAATGGGAGGTGGAGAAGTCACCGTGTTGAATTTCGACGATAGGTGGCTGTCTGATGCCTGATGAGACAGTTTACGCTCTCTGCTAGCTTCAGCACCCAACATGTGGTTATATTGGATGAGCCTGAGCTCGAAGCAGCCCCTGTGCCCATCCCGCTAGCAGATGCAATATCGGAATTCGATGTCGACTGAGACAGACCCCTTGCGCGGTTGTGCTGTTCCTCCAACTCCTTGATGCCACGGAAAGGGAACAACTTGAAATTCCACTCGGAAATTGTACTGCACCGCCAAATCGTTCAGTGGCAGGTGATACCCCATAGTGGGCCGACACTGTCATAGGCAGAGAGACAATAGATGTCGATGCAGAGGGCACCTGTATCTCGTGGCTCTGGTCTCCTTTCTCCTTTGTGAGACTCGTGCGACTCCCGGCTGATGCTCGAGTCCGTATTGTTTCTCCTGTCCCCGGTACCAGTGCTGTTCGCGGGAGATCTCCGGTCATTCACTGAGCCGCTCCTGCTGAGCGAGAACATATTCTTGACCTTCTCCCAAGTGCTTGTAGACTCCGCGGCGCACTTCATGGTGGAGTCTGTTGGGTGGCCAGCTGGTCCTCCCGCTCTGGGAAGTCCGTGTTGGATGGGGCGAGTCGGATAAGTGATCGGAGATGTTGGCCTACCAGCTGGAGCATGCCTGGCTGCAGACGTGAGCGGAACGATGGGAGAAATGGGCGAAGAAGGGCCGCTCACGAGGGTAGGCTCCAGCTATGTTTTGAGCTCTACAACCAGATCCGCTCGTTGTGGAGGATGAGGAGATAGGATAGCTTCTATTTGAATGGCGATCGGAAGTTTCAGCGGAGGGACACTCATCTCCACCTTCGGCCTCTGGTTTCGGCTCCCGAACATCGTCGTCGATATCGTCGTCCTCATCATCGTCGACAGGCATTCATCGGACGGGTACTGTAGTGTTCGTCAGTATATGAGGTCGCATCAGTCTACAAGTTGGACTACGCACAGGAATCAGCCACCCAGCTTTTCTGGTTTTCACGGTCACGCTCATGGACCAACCGCGACCTACTCCTCCCCTCTTGGTAAACCACCTGTTCTTAGTCCTCATCCAGATATTGCTTCTCCCTCAAAGGCATGGCGAACGAGCTAGCAGGAAACGTGTCTCGAGAGGATAATAGAGGTACACTGGGACAGTGGTTGCAGACGTCGTAGACTCAGTGGGACTGCTGCTGGTCGCAGTGTCCACAGCAAGAGGTAGTCGCACATTGGGAAGCTGCGTGAAGCCGCGATCAGGCGTGGGTGGGTGTGGAAGAGGACGCCAAGGTGAGGGGTGTTGAGGAACATCGTCCTCATCCTCAACAACTACTCCTCGATGAAGGATGGGTTTCTCATAAGTATAAGCTGCATTTCCATTGGCTTTCACGAGTGGTGACACGCGTCCAGCATCTCCATTAGTCACCCAAGGAGAAGATGGAAGACGAGGTGGTTCAGGTGAATTGTAAAACGGCGGTGGCTGTGGCAAAAGCGTGGACGGTGCATTGAGAGTCGTGGGTGCAGTCGAAGCCGGCTCCCACTCTTTGCGGTCATCAACCACCGTCGACGCACGTGATGAGTGCCTTGATCTGCGCCGTCTACGCTTAGGTGGTATTGTCGGTGCCGCAACCTCCTCTCCTCCACTAGTCTGGTCGCCGTCGGCTAGGTTAATCCTGTTCCCTAGCCGATGCAACATCAACCGGTGTGCAGCTATCCGCTCACCTCCGGCAACTGTGTTGTTTCACTGTAGCCGTGCACCGCCCGGAGGCGGTGTAGGAGACAGTGAGATGAAGGATATGTCCACGGGCTCCCGCCCGCCCGTGAGCTTGGACATCACCATCGCTCGAGCTGCATCGGCGCTATTTGACCGGTGTAACCCCATCTGCGCGATGCCACGTTGGATATCGTCTAGTGTAGGCAGTGGAGTCGATGATGTCCCCGGGTAGAAGAAAGGCGAGGCAAGAAATCAGGAAGGGGGGAAGAGCAAACGTTGATGCTATCGGAACAGGCAATATGAGGGGAGGAGAAGGAGAACGATCTTCGCCAGATCCGAGTTACAGTTTTCATCCGCGGAGGATTCGTAAGTATGACTTGCCGAGCTGAAATGTGACGGTGCCTTCATTGATGTCTTGTCCTTCGTGTCTCTGGATCCCCTCGACCACGTCTGCGATCGTGAGTGTCGTTTTGCACGCACAGGGGTGGATTCCACTGCTGGAGCCTCAGGCCCTCTTCCTTTGGCGCTTTGATCCCGGGGTGAACACCGAATGCCTCCATGTCTCCATACTGGTCAAATTCTGATGCAGAACAGCCTCCATCCCAGTCGACGTCGACGATTGTTCCTTCCTCTCCCCAGCACATGGGCATGACACGGGAACCATTGTAAGTGTTATCGAACTGCGATAATGTCATCAACATGCAGCGCATATGAGGTGGGTGTACCGCACTCATCAAGCAGTGGACATAACATTTGAAACCATGGCCAGTGGTCCCGATCTAACCAAACCGCCTCGTATTGCTTGATGTTAAACGGCGCAGACACGTTCTCGTAGCTGTGCATCACAATGTCAGTACTCGGGCGTAGCATCCCATACACGTTAAACTACTTACCGTTTGAAACCGATGACATTCGATGTGGTTCCAATGGTGAAGTCTAACATTATCATGAATCCCGTTTTGCCAGTCGGAGATCGTTCCATAATGTTGATGACAGAAAAATTGAGAAGTAGCCATAGTGAAAGTGATAGCACATGAAGCAATGGTGTACAGGGCTTCCAGCACAAGCCGGGGTTTGCAGACAACAGCCCACACCGGTCAGAGACTGTCCCTGCACAGCGTGTGTGGTTGATTCTGTTGCCCCCAGAGGCGGTCAGAGACTATCCCTGCGCAACGCCAAGGGAAACAAACCCCGCTTGATTTTTTCCATCCCATACAACCATTAGCTCCTGAATGAAACAAAGGCAGAGTACTGTTGGAGGAGTGGAGGGTGCGTGACGTGGCGAGGGCAAAAGGATACGCGCAGCCTGAGCGTCAACAATCACGTGTGTGGGCGTCTCACCTCGTGGTTGGCTATGCCATTCGCTTCTAAGACGTCGGCTCTGAAGAGCGCACGCGCATCCTCTACATGACTGACGGCATGTTCTTCCGCAAGACGCTACTTGACCCGCTCCTCAGCCGATACAGCGTTATCATGGTCTGTCCTGCTTCTTGTTTTCTTTCTCGCGTACTCATCCTGACATGTAGCACAAAGATCGATGAGGCGCACGAGCGGAGCGTGTATACTGATCTGATGCTTGGGATTCTGAAGAAGTATGTACGATATATTATGTTGGATCGTCTCCTCTCGTCCAGCTAACTTCATCCATCCCTTTGCATATCTGCCATTTGTCTGCAACAGGACCCGCCGAAAGCGTTCCTTCCTCCGGCTGATCGTCTCTTCCTCAACACTCGATGCTACCTCCTTCCTGGAATATTTCACCTCAGGCAACGCTCCGGACGATGCTACCATCGTCAGCCTCAAAGGACGAATGTTTCCAGTGCAAGTCGCGTATCTCCAGGAGCCCGTGCCAGATTACGTGCGGAAAGCAGCAGAGGTTGTGTGGAACGTCCATCTGCAAATGAGTATGTGCCTTCTCCCGTGAGTTCATGCAGCAGGACTGGAATTGACCACGAACTAGAATGGAAGGGGGACATTCTGGTGTTTATGACTGGTCCGGAAGAGACAGACCGTTGTCTGGAGGAGCTGTCTGAGATGTTACCATCGTAAGTGTGCTCGACAGTATCGGGTGTCTCATTTTGACATCACACACTGTTAGTTTGCCTCGAAACGCTATGCGGATATGGCCGCTGGTGCTGCATGCCGGACTCTGCAAGAATGAGCAGCTGGCCGTCTTCGAGTCCGCCGAACGAGGCAGCCGAAAAGTCGTTATTTCCACGAACATCGCGGAGGTATGGCCACATGTCTCATTTATAGGTTCTGCCGGCGCTCAGTGTATTGTGTAGGCTAGTGTCACCATCGATAGCATCAAGTTCGTCATCGACTTCGGCTTCGTCAAGGTGCATTACCATTCAACACTTTACAAGCCGATCGTTGATCGTCTCATCAGATCCGCACCTATATATCTTACCACCGCACTTTCCTCCCTCTTCACGGTGCCCGTCTCGTAAGCCTCCACCATGCAGTGCGCGGGCTGCGCAGGGCGTACCTCCTCGAGCAAACGCTACCGATTCTACACTGAGTGTGCATTCCAGACATTCCCGTTCACCACACCACCGGAGATCATGCACGTCGACCTCACGATGCGAGCCTAAGGATGGACGGTTTGATGAAATTCGAGTGGGTAACGTCTCCACCGGCAGAGAGCGTGCTGTGTGCGCTGGAGGGGCTGCATGTGGCAGGGATGATTGGCGAGGATGGGACGTTAATGGTGGTTGGAGACAAGGTGGCGGAGTGTCCACCAAGTGCAGAATATATGACCGAGGCTGCTCTGTACGCATGTTACATTTTCGACCACAACAGTGCTACACTCAATGACATGTTCCCAACTTGTATGTACATTAATCACTTCCCATACTTGTCATTGCTGGAGATAGTGCGAGGGGTGGGAGAGACGGAAGTGACGGGAGTGGGGCTGCTGTGGGCCTTCATGTACGAGATGACAAGATGCAGAAGCAAATAGTAGGAACAGCACATAAGCAAGATCATGAAAGAAAAGAGGTAGATTGTGTTGCAGTAGGCGTTGAAGATGAGACGAGCGACAAGCTCTCTGCGTGCCTCTGGCTGTGGAGGTGAGTCAGTGACATATATGACATACTACGGGTGAGTAAAAAAGTACATTCTCCACGTCGTCGTTGACGATGATGGGTGCTGCCATGCCTGGTGCTGCCATGTCTGAAAGACCTTGAGTATGATGCGGTGATGATAGTTGATGAGCACTCACCTGTGTCGCAGTAGAATGTGAGTGGATGAGAGAAAAAGCATTACTCCCGCTCAACCTTGGTTATATACCCGAATCCTCGAAGCCTCATTCTCCGTTCTTGAATGTTTTGATCGACGGTTACAAGATGGGGGCATTTTTTTCTATAATAGGTGAGCTTCTTCTCATGTTGCGTGGACTTCACGCTTGGCAAGCTGCTGTATCATTAGATGATTGCAGCTTGCAATGTGCAAATCAATGCTTACGCTGGATGGTTCACCCTCTGAACCTCTCGTGCTCAGCGTACGCAAGCTTTGGAAGATGAACGCCGTCGCCGTATCGCGAAAGGCCTTACACCCTCTCCGGAAATCCCCAAGGATCCTAGCGCAGACTCGAGAGTTACGAGCAGGGAATAGGTAGCGGAAGCAAGGTGGTGGGAAAAAGTTAGGAGGAAGATAGAGAGAAGGAGAAGCAGAGAAGATTCCGTCGAGTGATACAGGCTGGGAGCAGTGGGTCATGCCGATGTTCGAGAGCATAGAATCACTTTGGGAGAACGAATAGAAGACGTGGAAGCCATCTAGACTGCAAGATAGTGAAAGCAGAGAAGGCGCGAAGGCATGATAGTGAAAGTGGAGAAGGCGTGAAGACATCGGCTGCGGACAATCCCTATGCACCAACACAATCAAGCCAGTCATTGAGTTCACAAATTCCCAAGCAAGTAGCTGAGCATGAAATTGATGTAAATGAGACACTGCTTTTCGGCCAGGCCATTGATGAATTACATACTGAAGGGTGGAAGAGTGGAAGAAGGGTTCACAGCCAAATCATTTCCCGCGGAAAATGAAATTGGCCATGCTTCCGGTCAGAAGGAAAGAGATCCTTGTGAACGTGTATTTCACATGCCCCCGCTGATTCCTAGGCATATGCACAGTCTTCTGGACGGTTCTTCGACTCCAAAGCGGCCCAATCCGTTCTGAGAGGCTTGGCGCAAACTCACACGGTAGCGCATCCGTGAAAACATTGTCTGCGTCACATTGACCATGCTTGATTGCTACTATGCAGACCAATCTGATGCTCACCGTTTGCCATCTGTCTTGTCAGCAGCAGCGAACGACCTTGCACGTTGATAGAATCGAAGAACACCTGATACGCCATGTCCGTCATCCTGTGTCACTGCGGAATCAGTACATATCGCATTATGCAATCCCATCAGTTCACGCACTGCTTCAATGCCTTGGAAAGCACTGCATCCCCACCAACCGTGCGCTGCATCGTCAACATGTATCGTGTAGAATTGCAGCAGATTCGCAATCTTGTATGACGTGATGCTGCTTTCCTGTGACTGCACTGTCTGCTGCACCCTGTTCTAGAAGCATCATATCAGCCCGCGTGAAGCCTACGTTGTCGGAAAAGCTGCGCCGACCTTCAAAGGCGTGCACAGTTTTGCCACAGCTGCATTTATCAGCTCAGCCATCCATTCTTCTTCTTCACTCTGGGAAAACGTCCGCACGCTTCCGACCATGCGGCCGTCCCCTTTCACACCAAAAAGCCCCTCCAAGAACTCTCGCTCCGCGGCAATCGCCTGATGTACCCAAGCGAGCAGATCTCCCACATATCGCAGCGGGTCGTGCGCATGCAGCTCAATCGGTCGAGGCAATCCGCCGGGACCTCCGCGCGTGAGTGCGTCAGTAAACGCAGTCAGCAACATCGCTTGACGTGTTTGGGACAGATAAGTAAGCGCCTCGCTGGGCACGGAGAAGT